TGTTCCGAAATCAGCGATACATTCTTTAACCACATGCTTTTTTGATTTTAAATTTTCAATTTAAATTTTTTAGTTCAATTTTAGAGAACAGCACATTAAATTCCATTTAAATAATTAAAGATCAACTTTAGCTTAGCCAAATAGTTTGGGGTTTTCTATTTTAACATCATGCAAAAGTTTCTGCATTTTCTTAAATACACTTATTAAGTGAGGTGTCCAAATTTAAAAAAAATAACAAACGTAATCAATCACAGTGAGAATGCCCCATACTGGTTTCTGTTATTAATGATATGAACGTTTTAATTTTTGATTTGGCCGAAGATTTTCACTTGCTTCTTAAGTTGTCATTGATTTGAAAGCGCAGCTAATATCATCATTGTATCTGTGTGATTGTAACTGTTGCTTTTTAGTTACCAGAAAACCTTTATACATTCCAGTTGTTTGCGTTTTTTTTTTGTCGAAATCTTTGATATTGAAAATATATTGAAAATGATTGTCTGTGCGGATCAAAGCTGTTGTTTGAACTGTGTGATATACATAAATTGATTATTATATAAGTGAGCATAACGGTCTTTGAAATGCTGATTAAATGTTGCAATCAAAGCCACACATATATCTCTTGTTAATGCGCTGTCATGTATTGGATGCTATCGCATTATGAGAGATCTGTGTATTTCTTTTTCATTCCACTTGATTCACATTTTTGATATTCAAATCTCTCAATGAACGTAGTGTTCAATTGAATCTGTGTTGGAAGCATAAAAACGATTTCGATGAATTGTCGTATTTATTGAAATACAAGTATTGTGTAGTCGAAAATTTTACGTTCGGTTCACGTTTTATTTTCAATTTTTCACATGCGGCAAAAAGTATTTTGATGAATTTTGTTTGATTTACTTACACCATTGAATCTATACATTGTTATCAGTTCAATCAGTCGTTTCGTTGTGGTATACCATATACCCGACTCAAATAAACGATTAATTTTCATGCGTCGAGTGGAAAATCAATGGTGCGCTTGTTAAGCCAATTACAAATCATTTGAAAAGCCATTAGTCAGGCTTTTGTTTCAGTCAATTTTTTCACGTGATTCAAACCAATTTATCATACAAAATGATGACGTAAAGATTACGACGATGAAAAATTATTTTTTCAAATGATGTGAATTCTCTATTGATTCAGAAATTTCGATAAAATCGAAAAACTAGCATCAAAATTCAACAAAAACGAAATTGTCATCAAAATTCCCGTCAACCACAACTTCACATTGAATATTTTATTGTTCAAGATATTCTTTTTCCATCAAAAAGAAACCATTCCACTTGAATTGCTTGAGAAGCAACAACTTTTTGACATTTCACCACTGAATGCTTCGTATTGTGAATTTTCATTACAGTTCATTTAATTCGCCAGAGGATTCACATTTTCTCTCATATTTGTGTCTTTCAATCATTACCGAAATTGACGTATAAGCACACTTCAAGTAATCTTGAAAAATTACTGGCTTCAGTGTGTTCTGTTTGTGAATAAGTTTGTTTGAAGGATCATGATATCGGTCATCGAACGTATGTGTCTTTGAGTTGTTTTCAGCTAAATTTTTTTTCACGTCATATTTTTGCTATTTATGAGCACTCAATGATTGATTGCTGATCGTTATTGTTTTTTATTTCTTGTCTTCGGATGGACCAAATGAAATAACGACATACATATATGGTATATATAAGATCGATATTCTCATGAAATATGTTGGTCCAAGGAAGAAATGCTTCTCAATATTTGAACGTTATCAAAAAATTGGAAAAAATAGAACGTCAAAACTTCCGGAATACAAAAAACTGTAGTCTATGTGAACAGCCGTGTCATTTGAGACGATGAGATATATATCAGAAGGCTATGAAATAGCGATTATACATACACTTGCTTATATTCTATCTGTTCTGCATTGTAGCTTGATTGCATAGAAATTATTTTAATGTCACACATAGGCTATGGAATATTTCATTGAAATGAAACCATTGCCAATGGCAAATATACACACGAATCAAAAGCAAAGAAGAAAACCAACGCTGTGCAAATACCAAACTGGCACGCGATCCGAAAATTTTCATTCAAACACAATGACTTACGTTATATTGATAACCTACGAAAATATTCGGTTTTGTTCTGTTAAATATTCACTACACGGATACCATGGACCCCAAAAGCATAATGATAATGATGATTATATGGTTTTACGGCCGCGCATAGTGTACTCCGACAATTTAACGACGATGATTTCAGGTGAAAAGGTTATGCGAAAACGAGAGACGGTCGAAGAATGGTCACAAAAAACGCGTCTGGCAATAAAATGCAGCGCAAGCGATCTAAAAGCACGTACACATGAAATTGATGATCAAAATTGCAACAAAAATAATAAGAAGAGAAAAAAAACGTAACAATACAAGTTGTTTGGTTGGTGATATGGCTCACGATGCGACCAAGAGACTGGAAAACTAAAGTCAAAGAGTGAGAAAGAGCATTCGCTAATGCTACGAGCAAACAGACCTATCACGTGAGATCCATCGAGATTTTTTACAGTTTTACCTTGATATACATACCACATGTTTTATGGGCTCATGTGAACCGAATTATTTTTTCCTCTGTGCTATGTGTAATTTAGATGTTTGTGCCTTGCAAACACCCAACGCAGCACAATGTGCTGTGAATTAATAAAGCTGAAACTACCACTGTGTGTATGCATGTGTTAATTGGATGTGCAATGATTTAAAAATTCGCTATGGTTTAGAAGAACGATTCAATTTGTGTATTACAATGAGCCAGCAACTTTGTTGGGCTCGGCATTCACATTCGATTTCCGAAATAACCTATCGTAACCTATTTAGAAATTGATTTAATTACGAGTGAAATTATTTCAAGCTAAAAATCAATGTTGAGTTCAATTCACTAATGAATCATTATTGATTATATTTTGGAAAATTTTGTGATTATTGACGGCCTTCCATAAAGATACTCATAACATTGCGTATATCGTCAAACGTGTTCGCTTTAATGGGCTTAATCTTCATTTAAAATAAAAATATTTGCCTTGTACAGTTTTCTGTAATGTGTCAATCACAAGCGATTTGTAAAAATTTCCGATTGACCAAATCGAAATCAAAGGACACACCAACAATAGAAAGAACAGAAAAGAAATACGCCAGTGGCAGTTTTTTTGTAAAGCGTAATTCGTTTCATCTTTGCAATAGAAAAACGAGCAATAAACAAATTCAATAATATCCAGCCGAGTCAAATCGATTGAAAAAAAAACTGTATGTTGTTGTTTCTTTTGCAAGATGTTGAATGAGTGTTCATCTAGATAGAAATGCTATTTTTAGCAATTTGGGAATTCCATTTTCGATTGGTTTCGTCAATCATCGAATATCACATAAGAAATATGATTTATAGTGTACACTGTACACAAACATAAGCTAAAACACCCAATATCCGTCGACAAAATCATTGCCACTCAACAAACGGCAGATCCAAAACGATTCAAGAAAAAAAACGAAAGTAAAGAGAACAATATATTTTTTCTCTACAATTTATACTTTTGTTTTGTTTTCTATTTTCATTTTCTATTTGATATGGATGTTTTATTCCCCATTTTTTTCTTCAAAACTTTTACCCATTGCTACGCGAGACTTCATCACAAAGAACTGCATATTTTTTTTTGTTCGTTCGTTCTTGTTCTTCTTCTTGGTCGTTTTGTGTAACTAAACAAAGTAAGAAACGTAAACACCAAACACCAGAAATTGTTTCAACTCTTTAAATTTGTTTAGAATGTTTGGATTCAGTTTGTTGTTATTGTTCTTGACTCTAGAGGAATTAATCGGGTGATAAATAATTTGAAACGGACAAAATTGTGTATTTTTTGTTGTGTGTGTGTGTGTCTGTGTGCGTGTGAGAGAGAGTCTTTTTCTTCGACTATTTTCAAGACATTTAACTGCATTCGAAAGAGTATCCATATAATTTCGTGTACTTTCATAGAAAAAGCATTTGGAGAAAAAGTTTTCCGATGGTGTGTGGTATTACTTAACTGTACGTTGGAGTTTCTTTCGTTGGCACGTTAATATTCCTCATTGGAATGTGATTCGCTTTTTTCATCCGTTTTGTCTATTTTTCTCTCGTGCTTGAGCACCCTCATTTCCCACTGATCCATTCGAAACCTTTTGGTATCGTCCTTCAGTTCGACTAAAGACAAGATATTGGATCGTCTTTTTTGTTCTTAGTTAGAAGTTATTTCGATGTGAATGACCATCGTCAAAAACTTCCATTGAATTAGACAGAGATGCGTCTATATCAATTCACAATGCTGTATTTTTACATTCTTTCGATGGAATTTTAATGCGATATTTTTTTCTCCTTTCTTTGCTATTTTTCCGTGTTCTTCTCTCTCTGCGCTCAACTATTTACTGCTGCGATTTTATTCTATAAATAGGGGAAGGAGAGGCTTTGGCAGAAATCGAGTATCAATCGATGATACTTTGTTTGGTTGGTATCATTCCAATCATTTTCCATTTTTCGTATACTATGATTCAATCAATGTGTAAATCAATTTATGTATGCGTTGAACAGTTTTAAGTTGAGCACTTAATGAAAATAAAGGCTATAACACTGATGAAAATAAATCGCAGCCAAACTGAAATGTTGCAAACTAAATGTGAAACCTTTTTTTTTTCATTTGCTACTCAAAATCGAAGAGTAATTTATTGTTTCTGGCATATTTTTAATATGCACACATTGTAATCAAGAGTTTCTGAAACGCAATGCCTAATTTAAAACTATCAAAATAAGAGTATTTGATGTAACATTAACATTTTAATTTAATGCAGCCAACAAAAAAATCAATCGTCATTTTACTGTTTTTGAAGGACGGATTTAGTTTTTATTTTCAAGTTATCAGCAATGGAATAATTTGCAATAATTCATATATGTATTTTTTTTTTGTTGTCTCTTTACAGGCGAATTCATATACTTATTGTCGTAAACAACGCGTGCTCGTTTGCTCGTTGATGAGGTATAAAATGGTATGTATTCAATTTTATGTTACACAAATTTGATTATATTTTAGGTTTGAAAATGGTCACATAAAATATATACACAAACTTGCATTTTGATCGGATATATTGCAGTTGTGGAACTTTTAATATATTTGGACATTCGGAGTTTTAAAGAGCGCTACAATTTTAGTATGACCCTCTCTTCATTGTTTATTTCACTTTTTCTCTTTTGGCGCCTGTATAATTCCAAGCTCATGATTTTATGAAGCCCCATAAAAATCCGGCGGGTTTCGAGTAAATAAAAGTCAAGGTACATTGCGCGTAAATTTTATACAGTTTAACGGTTTTGATCGAAGCCCATCTACAAAACATAAGGATACACGTTAAAACCTTTTTGGTCAAATAAAAGCAACCAATATATGGGTGTGTGTTAACATTTGAACTATGGTCATAATTTGATCATTCGTATTTTATTAATTCACGGGACTTAACACTAAAATGGATCTCGTATTCAGCCAATAAAAATGTGCGAGGGTTCAACATGGGAACATACACACAAACAATGTTATGCAACATTTTGAGTTCATATTTAAACCATTGTAAATGGAAAATTGAATGCAGTTCAGTTGACAACATCGTATTTTGATCACAACCCCTCTTCAATGACATAATTGTGTGTGACATCTCTGTATACTGTAAATTGTCTCGGAGGGCATCTGGAAAAATACACTTTCTAAAGGTTTTTTGGCATGGTGAAGCCGAATTTTTGGGTTCCAGGTCAAAAAAATCAGGGGTTAAGGGGTTATGACCCCTGACCCCCCTAGGGGGTGGGGGAGTTGGAGGGCAGCTGACCCAAAAAATTTCTCTCATCATTCTGAACAACTTTGTATAGACCAAGAGCCACTCCAACAAGTAACTTTTTTTTTTGCTTTATGTCACAAAACTATGTTGAACCATGCAGCTAGACATACACTAAACAAATAATTTTACGTCTATCATTACAGTCACCCACTTCGCTAAATCTGCACTATTATTCGCGGATAGAAAACACATCAATTAATAAAGCGAGCTGCATGTTTGATTTTCTGGAATACATTTTGTTTT